AACAAATAAGACTTTCTCTAGAAGAAAAAATATTATAGCAAATACTGTAAAAAAAAAATCTTTGGTCTGTTAAACATCATTTGGAGAAAAAGAATTGGCTAATAATTTTTACTTCAACTGATAAACATAAGAATCCTATTTTGGTGTATCATAAATGGTGTAGCAGGTAATATAATATATTTTGATTGCACAAATCACACATTTCCATGTTGAGATTTAACCTACTGTAACGTCAAAAGACAACAGTAGTCCTTCTAAGGTTGTTGCCCGTATGAATCTTGTCACGTCACGGCGGATTCAAATGCTCGGTTGCTTTGCATAAAAACGCATTTGGCAAATTAGAAATAACAGATTATTGGGTTCTTTTGTCTTTTGTTGCCTAACAAGTTACAAGTTGCTTAGTCTGAAGTAAAATTGTTGTTTTAAAATAAATCTGATGTTTTGCGCCAAATATATCTAAAGTCTTTTACTACTAACGTTATACTATGTACTAGGGGTGTAACGATACACTCAGCTCACGATACAATGCGTATCACGATATAATGTTCACGATTCGATATGTATCTCGATATTTGGAATAAAAATTGAAAATTAAACTGAAATGCAAATTTAAAAAAAAAATTTAATTACCAAGTAAACTATTTTTTATGTATTTCTTTTGTTTCAACTTGTTAAACTGAACCTTCTTTAAGAAAATAAATTAAACAGGACTGTCTCTGGAAAATAAAACAATTTAAAAACTTCTTAAAAATATTATTGAAATTATTCAATTCAATTGAATTTAACAGTAAGAGCTTAAGGCTTTGCTTGGTTACTTGCGTTTTTTGTGTGTGCAATCTACATTTCCAGGTAATCAGTTCTATAAAATAATCCTGAACTGATGTGTATCTGTCTGAGAGGTTTTTATGGATGGCTGTCTTCATGTTGGGCATGATGAGTGACAGGGTGCCCGTCTTTTCATTACACAGGACAGTCGTGGCTCTTTTCAGCAGTTTAGGAAGGTTTACTATTTCTTCAGCGTTGCTGATGTCGGCGCTATCAAGTATATCATGTTGATGTGCATTTTTGTGTACCTCTGTACTCAAAAGAGTTCTTGTTCGTCGTAATCATAACTCTAAAATGCGATATGATTATTCAAATAATGTGCACGCTTTCAGTTTCATTTCTACTGCTGTTCATACTTCCCACGCGGCTCCTGAACGATCACTCTGTTCCACAAACTGAATGTTGTTTACTACTTTATTACCTGTTAGTCACAACCTGCAGGTTCTGTTCACTAAAGCAGACGCGCGCGCGTCTATCATAGTCCGCCCTCTGTAGTAACAGCTCACGGTCAGCTCACGTCATGTGTGATTTTGCAGCCACCAATATTATTCATTATATCATATAATCATTATATAAAGAGAGAATGATATTTTAGGGTGAATTGTACCTTATAAATACAGTATGTGACTCTTTCAACACCATTAGGAGGTATCCATGTCGCTGTGCAAAGTATGTAAATCACTGTGAAGAGTTTAAAACTTAGGATGTTTGACCCAGTATGCGTGTCAAAAAGCGGACGAGTCTAAAGCAATGACTGTACAACCGAAATGTTGCCAGACGTCTGATTTTGAGAGGATGGGCCATCCTCTATTTAAACTCCACTCATCTTGGTCTGCTAACATTACTGCTGCTGCAATCTGAACTCACGTGCGACAGCAGGTGGAACGTAGCTCACGTGCAAACAGCTCAACTAATAAGAGAAAACGGACGTCATATCGTAATCAAATCGTCATAACCTCACGATGCATATTGTGACATTTTTGCTTCGCAATGAATGGTACAACGATAAATCGTTACACCCCTTCTATGTACTAACTGGTCTGAATAGAAAACAGGCTGTGACAGAGAAAGGTGAGGACAGTTGCTTAACATTTTTAGAAAGTGTGCAGGTGAGATTTGAATAACAAAGAGGACAGGGTTTTTCAAATAATTAAACATGTTCTATTCTATGTTAAAGTTCTCAAACATAATTAGCTTTATGTCATACTTGATCAAATTTTAGTCCTAATTCATCATTGCCATGTCCTAACTGGTCTGTAGGAAAGGCAAGGTGTGGTGTCACTGAGAGAGAGGGGAGGGCAGTTGCTCTAACTTTCCAGAATAATAGAGGTAAAGTTGGTTTTATATTCACATTTCACACATTCGGTCATTTAGAAGTCTCTATATTGTTTACCATGTTACTTTGAATATTCGATCAAAATTAGCATGCAAGTATGACTTCAAAACAACAGTAACACTATCTAATTGACTGTAAACAGTGTTGTACTTTGATAGTCATTTTGCTGCTATTATGATTTCCCTATTTGAAATTTGCAAAAAATAGTTTTCTGAAATTACATTATTAAGGAGAATGTCTGAATATCCGATTATAAAACCAACTTTACCTCTATTCCAGAATGTTACAGCAGGTGAGATTTGAAAACAAAATTGAAGTCTTCCTGGTGGCTCTCGCTTTGCACAGAGAAATGCTTAATTTAAAATTAATTTTGTTACAGTGACTGACTAACTCAATCTCAATCCTCTAACTAAAATATTGCTGCTAGATATATTTTTGATGTTACATTGCTCTGACAGCCCTAGCATGATGCAAAACCTCTTGTTTATGGACCAAAAGAAAATCATATGTTGTTAAACTGTACATTTCTTTACAATTCAGTGGTAAGAAATGGATATCTTATATTTTACTATTGTTTACTAATTTTTTACATTTTCCCTGAATAAATTTCATATTTTAAAACCCCAGAGACTTTAAATCAGTATTTGGTCATTACTTAGATCAGTATTTAAAGCAGATGTTAAATATAAAAAACTATTTATGTAAATGAATATTTTTCAAGACACTTCTCTACAGTTTAAAGTGACATTTAAAGGCTTAATTTGGTTAATTAGGTTAAGATTAGGGTAATTACACGTTATATAACTTATATATATATATATATCGTATATAAGTTGTATATATCGTATATAAGTTGTATAATGATGGTTTGTTCTGTAGACTATCGAAGAAAATAAATGCCTAAAGGGGCTTATAATTCTGTCCTTAAAATTGTGTTTAAAAAATTAAAAACTGCTTTTATTCTAGTCGGAAAAAAAACCCAAATAAGATGAAGAAAAATATTATTAGACATTCTGTGTATTTTTTTCTTCTGAAGAAAGTCTTAGTAGTTTTATTTTGGATAGAATAAAAGCAGTTTTTAATTTTTTAAACACCATTTTAAGGTCAATATTATTAGCCCTTTAAGGCTATATATTTTTTTAGATAGTCTACTGTACAAACCATCATTACACAAAAACTTGCCTAATTACCCTGACCTGGTTAACTACACACACACACACACACACACACACACACACACACACACACACACACACACACACACACACACACACACACACACACACACAGTATCAGTATTTAAAAATATTTTCACACAGAGTGATGCTTAATTTAAATGTGTGTGGTTCTGTTTATTTATTGTTATTATTAATATTTTCAAATTATTTTATAATTTAGGTTTAAAAATTATTAACTTTATTGCTAATAAATCATTAATCCCTTTTGGTGACGTCACCATACAGCCCCCCCCTCCCCCACTTTAAAAATGGCTGCTACGCCCCTGCCTTCAAATATTTATTTTCTAACATAAACATTTCCACCTGTTAATCTATACCACATGCAGGGGATATGTGAAAATGCTTTGACTATTAATAGACCCATCGTTTGTTATCACTGCAAGGTATTGCCGTGGTCACACTGCTTTTTTCTTCCCATAGACTTTCGTTCATACGCATGCGAATGCAGCAGACTGGAAATGCAAGCTCGTGCAACAAGTTCGCTACGCTGCTAAGTTCAAGCTTGATGAACTCTGACTTGCAAAATCGTATCACGTGACTGCGACCAATCAAAGGTCAAAACATGACCACTGTACAGAAATGTTAAATTTGGCCCAATCGCTCCTTTTTATGTCTAATCGTCTTGTTTATTCCCACCCCTTTTGCAACAACATAAGTCAGAATTTTGCATGCTCAAACTCTAATCTGATCGCAGCTTAAGGCTCTATTAGTGAACAATTAGTGAGTTAATTTACCTTAATTTATAAATATTAGGTGATGTTAATTTCTGTTGATGCCTAATAATATCAAATGTCAATTTTTTTATTTAAGTTTTTAAAATTCAGTTGTTCGTTTTAAGTTTGTGGATATTTCCGAAAGTAGATTTTAATGCATTAACTAATGCTTACTAATGTAATTTTATTGTAATGTGTTACCTATTGTACTTACACCCTCAAGTGGTTTCAAACCTTAATGAGTTTCCTTTTTTTGCAATATCAAAAGATATTTTGAAAAATGTTTCAACATCAATGGTTACAGGTTTCCAACTTTTAAAAAAAAATATATATATATCTTTCTTACTAAATAACTCAGGTTTGTAAGAAGTATAGGGTGAGTAAATGATGGCATTATTCTCTGTTGAAGGTGAACTATCCCTTTAATCACCACAAAGTTTGAGACCATCATTAGGCCACTGATGGGATTTTTTTTTCTCTTGGTTAAGTTTTTTAAATCAAAATCTACAGATTTTTTATTTTCAAGAGTACCTATATATTTTGTATAATGAAAATAACAATTATTTACCTCTACATAATCTACAACCTGTACGAATTTGTGTGTCAGCGCTACCTGCTGGACATGAGAAAACTAACAGCTTGAAAAGACGTAGTCGGAAAACAATAGCCATTGTGTTGTAGCCTTTTTGAATGAAAAGAAAGCTGCAAAGAAAACACTTTTAAGAAGTACAGCTTTCATTATTATATAGCTGCGTCGTTTGATTAGGTCATAAAAATGTTGTTTTTGTTGTTAAAGAAACCACACGAATAAAGCCTATTGGATTGAATTCATGCCAGATTGCGCATCGCAGCATCCACCTTTTCTTCACCTATAAATTAACTTCGTACTACATTCATAATCGAAGGTCACAGTAATAAGTCCCGCATATAAGTTGACTCGAGTAGGTTCACCGAGTTCACTCTCCATCAGCCCGAGCTCCATCCCATTCCGCTGTCTCTTTCATCAGCCCATTGTGTGTGATGATCGCGCATGAGAAACCATCTACAGTATCAGGAGATGTTATAAGGTCCGCCTACGTCATCCTCCGCGTGCCATAGGAGCAGAAAAAAACGCGACCAGCCATTCATGCTCGCGCGTGCGGCTCCGTCAGGTTACTATGCCACCGTCCTCCCGTCGACGCTACCTGAGGGCGTCCTTTCTTCCCGGACTGCGGCGTTTGGATGCTGTGTTCTTGGCCAATAAGTTCCACTGCATTATGCTGAAGTTTGAAAGTAATGCCCGAGGATGTTAAGTCGCCCGGAAAGCCGTGGTTGGGCGAAGGAGCGCGCGTCCTTTGTGCGTTCATTCATCAGCTGCTTCCCTGCTGCTTTGTTTTGAAGAGAGGCGGGTATGTAGCTCTTGTGTTTAAGAAAGTCTTGTGGGAAAAATGTGGCAAGTTTTATTTTTAGAGAGGCTGCTGGTCTCTAATCTAATATTCTGTCGTTTGGAAATGAGTTGGTTTGGACGCGCGTGAGAAACGCGTTGTCTCGCTTTTTAACGGTGTCAGCAGGACGCTGAATTATTAATGCTACTTTCTCTGTAAGTAACGGAACGGATTGTGTAGTTGCTTGGAACAGAAGTCAAGTTTAAAAACGCACCTGTCGTTTTGTATTCATGCTGATTGATCCTCAGAAACATGATGCTGTCCCTTGAGGGGTCCGGAGACATCAGACATGCTTCTCCCTCATTGTGGACTATTTCTGCTTGACACAGTTTTTTTGGGCTGATGCAACGGAGAAGCAAAAACAGGGTCTTGTAATAATGCAGCTGTTGTTGATGATTGGTACTTGTGTGAAGTGATGAGAGTGTCCTGTGTAAATGTGTGTGTGATGTTGAGGGAATCTTCAGAAGGCTTGGATGGTGCAATTGAAGTTCAGGTTTCACCATCACATTAATGACTGGAGTCTTGGCAGCGTAAATAATCAGATTGTTAGGTTGAGAATGCTTCTGAGAAATCCTGGTAGGAGGTCGTTTTTAAGTGTCTACAAGTGTATACAATTCAAATCTATCCTATTAATTTGTCAATTTTTATTTTATTCTTTTAGAAATTAAAATCCTAAAAATTGGGTAATATGTCACTCTCATATCACAATTTTATTTCATATTTTGATAACGACATACAGTTCTTAGCTGTAAAAGCGCACCCTTCACAAATCTATCTTTTAAATTCATATCTTTAATAGAAAGCTGTACAATATTATATTTGTGTATAAGTTAGATAAGTAAGTACTGAAGCTCTAACAAAACAACTTGCGATCAGTCCAAAAAGTAGTACACCCAAATATATATGTTTTAGAAAAATATTAAGTACACATTTAAAAAACAAGTGGAAAAATCAAGAGAAGCAAAAAAACAAAACAAAAAAAAGTAAAAAGTTGTCAATTTTGTAGGCTGTAATTTTTTTGTTTTCAATATTTTGCTGGAATTTAATTGTATTATCTTTCTTGGTTTCTAAAGTATTATTTTAATAAATATATCGGTTTAATAAATCAGTTTTGTTAAAATGCACCAAAGTACATTGCCTATATTCATTGAGAAATGGATAGAAAATATTTATTTTCAAAATGTGGTGTACTCAATTTTGCTGAGCACTGTATATCATGATATAGTAACTTTTCTGTAAACCTAATCTATGTTCAGTTCATATTCTGACTATGTAAAGGACTATTTCTTCTTTATTTGATAAAAATATGTATATTAGAAATATGAATAAAATATAAAACACTTTTTCAAAAATGAATTACATGCTCAACATATGAATAGAAAATGTTGCTAAATAAAATGTAAAATGTACTTGCAAAGATTGCAACTTCCCATAATACCAATCATGTTTCTGTTGGAATCCCTATAATGGTTGTAATATTGCGCTCATTTAAAATATGAAGTAAGCATATTACCGTAAGCAATGTATTTTGTGACACCCCTAGTTTTTATACCATAGCGTTTGTTTCTAATAATCATAATTATAATAAAAATAGCAATAAAATATTGGTAATCATAAAATATAATTGTATTATATTTAATCTGATATAATAATAATAATAATAACAACAACAACAACAATAATAATTATTAATATTATTATATTAGCTACTAATTATTATTTTATTGCACTGCACTAAGTTGCCTTTTAAACGGTTTTATATTAATTAAATAATTATTAAATTTTATAGTTTCTAAACTGTTAACCTGTGCAGTTTGTAAACAGTTTATTTTAATGATCATAATGAAAGTAATGTGTAATTGTTATTTAATATATTGTTTATTCCATTATTATGACAGTTTAATAATAATCTAGTTTGTATTTATGAGAATAATTCTACATTTTATGTATATTATTTATTAACAATCTTACTCTTTTATATTATAACAGTATTCAGTGTTTTTATTATAGTTTTTTATGATCTAACTATAATAATAGCAACAACTTTTGCTTTTAATGTTACAGTATCTGTCTCTTTTTATTGTTTTATTTAAATGTTTTTTTTATACATTTATTATATGATTGAATATATTTTATATACTAATAATTTGTATTATTTCATTCATTTGTGTGCAGTGTTTTGTTAGAATAAATAATGAAGTTAACGTTTATCTGTGAATTTGATTTTTTCAACGCACTTCGTTTAATGGCTCTCTAGAAACACACCACATCTATCAGTAATCTCCAAATGAAGTAGTGCTCCAAATGGTCTAAAATATCTCAAATCATGGACTGTACATTATACTTTGCAATCCATTACGTTTCTATTCAGCTTTTGCTTGAAATATTAATGTTAAAACTGCTCTTGTTGAGAACAAAGCATTGCGCACACAGAACCATTTTATAAATAATGATGCATTTTTAAAATATCACCACTGGTATTTTGCATTTATTGAGTGCACTGTTCAACTGTGAGCTTGTTTCCCAGGGCTGTAAATATGAGGTAAACACAGGCCAAGCTCACTCAGACATTCATCACAATGCAGTGAAGAACTAAAATAGAGCTATGATTTGTGGGAAAGAAAAGGTTGTTGAGCTTCACAAAATGAGAGGTGGATGCAAGAAAATAGCAGAAATGCTGATTTTTTTTCACTATTGGGGTGCTTATTAAAAGTTCTAAATCAGTTTGGAAAAGGATGTGTGTCTGTCTTCAGAAAATGAAATGCAATAATCACGCTGTGGCTTTTGGAGGTGTGAAACACTTATTGGAAGCGCAGTCCCTTAAGACAGTTCTGGAGGTAATAATAATGAACCATTCTGATGATTGCCTTTGGCTGAGGGATTTTACAATGACCAAAGCAACATTTTAGATGTTGTGCAATGTGGTCAGTCCACTGCTTTGTCCATGAATGGGATCCCATCATGCACATTTATGCTATCACATTATCTAATAAAACATGACTTTTTTATTTGCATGCTCAAATTTATTCAGCAAATGTGTTTCCACCATCCTGTTCAGGTTTTCTTTTGAATGAAAGTTGATCCTATTCAGCTGCTTGAGTACATTTTTTGATGCACATTTTTAACATTTATGTGCATCTTGGCATTTTCATATTTTTAATTGGAATATTTGTTTTATGATTTATAGCAAATGTGCATGCAAATAAGTGAATAGAAACATAGTTAATGTTGATGATGGTAAAGTGGACAAAACAACTCCAAGAAGTTTGGTCCTGTGGTAGTTTTGGAGACTTTTTGACAACACTAACACAGTTTAAAAGGCTTTCAAGAAGAAAAAAAAACATCTACTCTCTCAAAGAGTGCACTAGATTTTGTTGTTGTTTTTAGCATGTGATTGTCAGTAAACAGATGCAGCTGAGTGTTTGTGTGTGTGTGTGTGTGTGTGTGTGTGTGTGTGTGTGTGTGTGTTTGTTTGTGTGTGTTTGTTTGTGTGTGTTTGTTTGTGTGTTTGTTTGTGTGTGTGTGTGTGTGTGTGTGTGTGTGTGTGTGTGTGTGTGTGTGTGTGTGTGTGTGTGTGTGTGTGTGTGTGTGAGCGCGCGCTCGCCATGGGCTCTGCTCATGGTCTGCTTGGTTAATAGGGTCTCAAAGCTCTTGGCTGCTATGCTCATGAGAGTCCTGATAAATGGAGGGGTCCATATTGGGCAGCACTTTTGCTGGGATAAAACAAGCCCTATTTCCAGCCTATTCATCATTTATTCAAAGTGAATATTCTGCCGTTCACGCTTCAGTGGGTGTTTTATGTTTTGTTCAGTGCAGGGGAAGAGAAAGGCAATATTGGGTGGACACGTGAAGAGCAGAAGCAGCATGTTTTTAACGGGGTTTTTTGCTTTGCCCTGTGCTGCTCAGTCTCATTGCTTCAAGGGCATCTGTCTTGTAATGATCCTGTTTCAGGCTCCTGGGGGACGAGTATTAGTGCAGGAAAAATTAACAGCACCTGCTCTGCCCATGGGCAGTCTGGAACCTTTAATGATGTCTGCCTATTAAACGGAGTAGGATTTCATTCATATGTGGTTTTGTATAGGATGTATTTGAATTATTTGTGTTATAATAATTGTGTAATAGAGGTAGTTACATTATATCATGCTACTACTTTTCACAGTAATGCAGTGTTTATAAAAACTTTGTTTACTATTTATTTATTTATTTAATAAAGCTCATGTTACATTTATTAATATTTTAAAAATTTTACTTCTACTGTTATTATTTCTTCGGCATGCTTTTTGTTATGTTATTTATATAGTTATATTTTATTATGTCCTGGCTTATAAAGGGCATTTATTTATTCAGTTGTTATTGTTATTTATTATATTGTATTATTATTATTATTATAGTTTAATAGTTTATCAAATATATTTTTTATTATATTTTGCTGCTGTGGTATGATGGTGGTTATTAATGTAATATTGTGATTAGTTAGATTTTAAATAGATTTATTCCTATTTTGCTTATTTTTATTATTACTGCTACTTAATTTTGATCCATTTTATTTAATATTTCCTATATTTATTATTAATTTACAGCATATTATTTTATTAAAGTTATTTAGTGTAGTTAAACTTGTATATTTTTAAATAGAACTAGAACAGAGCAAAGTATTTTTCATAATATTTTCACAATATTTCTTTTTGATAGTCTACAGAACAAACCACTGTTATACAATGACATGCCTAATTACTCTAACTTGCCAAATAACCTAGTTAAGCCTTTAAATGTCACTTTAAGTTGAATACTAACATCTTGAAAAATACACTGCAAAAATTGCTTTTCTTGCTTACATTTTTTGTCTTATTTCTAGTCTAAATATCTAAAATTTCTTATATTAAGAAGCATTTTCTAGACAAGCAAAACAAATTGTCTTGTTTTGAGAAATAAAATGCCAATATTAAGTGAGTTTTTCCTTAAAACAAGTAAAATAATCTGCCAATGGGGTAAGCAAATTAACCTTGTTTTTTCTTTGGACGTAAGATTATTTTGCTTACCCCATTGGCAAATTATTTTGCTTGTTTTACGGAAAAACTCACTTAATATTGGCAAATTATTTCTCATAACAAGACAGTATGTTTTGCTTGTCTAGAAAATTTTTCTTGATTTAGGAATTGTTAGATATTTGGACTAGAAACAAGACGAAAAATCTAAGTAAGAAAAGCATTTTTTGCAGTGTATCTAGTAAAGTATTACGTACTGTCATCATGACAAAAGAAATCTGTTATTAGGAATTATCTGTTATTAGTAATTAGGAATTAGTTATTAAAGCTATTATGTTTGGAAATGTGTTGAAATAATCTTCTTGAACAGAAATTAGAGGAAAAAATACACAGGAGGGCCAATAATTCTTACTTCAACTATATATATATATATATATATATATATATATATATATATATATATATATATATATATATATATATATATATATATATATATATATATATATAAATAATGTTTGGGTTTTTGAATAATTTATTTATATTTAACTTATTTATAATAAAACAGATAAACATCTGTCAAGTAAAAATGTTTTTTATATTATAGTTTATGTAGTGATGTTTTATTATGTCTGGGTTCGTAAATGGTTTATTTGTATTTAACATATTAATAATAATAGCTTTGATAACCACCAGTCAAGTAAATGTTTGTATTTTCCAGCACAGCGTTCTACATAAAAAGGAGACTATGTGGATTTGATTCTCTGTCCAGGATATCCAAATTAAATTACACAAAGTATTGAATTTTTAATGTAGGCCGTTGCCTGAAAGGATTAGGTTCAAATTAAACTCGGGCTCAGTTTTTCTCACCAGCACAGCACGTGAGGCGCATAAAATAAAGACAAGCGGGAATGAATCAGCTGTGATAACACGGATCAATACAGCGGCTGTGCTGAGAGTCAACCTGCACTGCTGCTCTTCTGTTCCCTGCAGCAGCATCAGACTTCAGTCCTGTTCATCAGTCTGTGTGTGTGTTGGCAGTGGTCAGCCGCGTGGAGCTCATCTGGAAGGTGATCTACTCAACATGAGTCTGCATGGAGCCAGTGGAGGAGCAGGAGCCCTGGAGCAGCACAGAGAGAGGAGGAGGTCTGGAGACCGCTCCAGAGACTCTTCACATGACAGAGGAGAGGGTCAGCTCACTCCTTGCATCAGGAACGTCACCTCACCCATACGCCAGACCCTCGGCGGTGAGTCGAGCACACACACGCTTTCAAATATGGTTCTTAGAGTCTTACAGATAGTATTAATAGTAATTGACAGTGTTCTTACAAATGCTGGATATCCTTCAAATTGCTTGAATGTTAATCTAGAGTTTCAAGGATAAGAGTTTTCTTGGATAAAGTACTTGTAGAAATAATTGTGTTGCTTTCATAATAAGTCGTTACTAAATGGATAATAATAATGAACTTTTTTAGTTTTTAAATAAAGTGAAAACTCATTTGCCTGTAACATGATCTGGCTATCTTTTACCACTTGAGATGTGAGTAAAATACATTTAAGTGAGTAAATGACCGTAATTCATTGTTGGGCTTGGGACAAACTAGTCATCAACATTTTCCATGCTACAAAATACAAATTAGCGTCTAATTTAATGCATTATGAATTATGTGTACATGTATGCAAATATGTCATTTGCCACACTTGTAAAATGCTAGAAAAAAAATCCATTGGGAAAAAAATCCTGAACATAAGGGAGCAAATGTTTAATATGAAAATGTACTTTTATTTTATACATGTAAAAAAAAGAACAGTTTAATGCAAGTGTATTCTTAAGTGTTTGTGGTAATACAATGTAAAATCATATGGGGTAACTTAAATTTTTGTAAAAATTAAATTTATTATTATTCTACACTGTACTTATGAAAATATATAAAGTAATCATACAAAATAGTCTATATTATAAATGATTAAAACCTCCTTGTTGACATATAAGTAAAACCCAGTGGTTTGATGATAGTAGCAAAGTATAAAGATATTAAATGAGTACTTTTATGCCTCAAAATATGCCTGAAAAGATTTTTTTTAATTGTAGTGGACATCTACTGTAAGACTCTGTAAAAATGTAGAATTGTCTTCATCATATTTATTGCTCTGAAAAACAAATAGGACACATTCAAGCAAGACAGAAAACCATAACATTTTCACATTTTTATTGTTTTGCTTGACACTATTGCCATTGTTCTTGGCGTGAACAGGCCTTTATTGGAAAAGCTCATATCTTGTGTTGATTCCTCAGAGCGTGAGCGGGACTCAGGCTGCTCATCGCGCTCCACCAGTCCCAGGCCTCAGAAAGCATGCTCCTCCAGTCTCTTCTACACCGACTCCCATGGAAAAACCCACAGCTCCGACATGATCTATGTCTGCGAAAACCTCAAAGAGGGCCCTCGCAGTTTGAGGACTGCTGAAAGAGTCACTCTGATTGTAGACAACACTCGTTTCGTGGTCGATCCATCCATCTTCACCGCTCAACCCAACACCATGCTTGGCAGGTACGAAAAACTCACTCATGAAATGAGAAATCTAATTTCACTCATTAGAATCCATTGTGCTTTAAAAATATTCGTTAACTTTCAGAACTCAAAAGCTTTCTTCTTAGTCTAAAAATGGCTTATATTGAAGCCAGTCAGACAGACGGGTTGTAAATGTGCCACTTTAATATGCAACAGTGTCTACTTCTAAAGCACTGGCTCCGCCCACAGATTCACACTACATTTTCAGATTCAGTTTTATTTTTAATAAATTTTTAGTCATTAAAAACTTGGTCAATGGTTTGCTTTCTTTTACTACGGATGCATTTATAAACCAGGCACACTTTGACAGTTGATTGTTAGAAAGATAGAAAGAGTAAGATGACTGCAATAAATCTGACAGCAATGTCACACCACATAAGTGTGAGAAACTGATGCTTTCTCCATTATTATAGATTGCTTGACATGAATTGAGTTGCCAAAATACTTCCAATTAAATTTGAAGAATGAACTAAAATAGAAAAATCCAGCCAAACCAAAGTTAATTTTGAAACTTTATTTTGCATAGTTCACATATGGCAATGTAATGTTCAGGAGATCATCAAACCGCGCTGCACATTCTGAAGTGTAAAAAAAATGCACTTCCTGATCTGTGCTCTGCATTTGCTCAATAAAACAGACCAAACGAAGAGTGAAAAAGAACTTTGTTTGAAGTATACTGGTGCCTTTAGGGTCAGTCTCTCTATGAGGTACATTAAGTAGGCTGTCTAAATACATACAGAAGTTTCCATCAGTGGACACACAGCTGCCCTTTCCAACTTTTAAATATGCAAAACTGTTTGTATAATATGCCATTTCTACTCAAACTAGCTTATTATTTATAATTATAATTTTATTTATGTCAAAGTCTTGATATAACGACAAAACCTTACTGTCACCATGCCAGGATGCTTAACTTACTTTACTATATTGCAATTAAATCAATTAAATCCTAATCTAATCATGACAAACTATAAATCTTTGGAAAGGTGTAAGACTTCTGAATACATATTTTTACCACAGTTTCTTTTTTTATGTAGGAAGAATAAGAAATCTATTTAGTATCACCGTGGAACATTTCATTTACATTTTTAAACCATAATATTGTAGTGTAAACAAAGAAGTCATGACAAGCTTAAAATTTCTAGCTTTCATATTTCATGACTCATTTTGATAGATATTACTGAGCAACAGTTGTTTGTTAATTAGCAAAAAAAATATTCTCAGCGGAGTCATAACGCATTACTTTGCCTCAGCAATCCACTTGAAATTATGATTTTTACAGGCTAAATTCATGTCAAGTACCACATCTGCTTTACAAATATTCTTAAAAGAAATGAAAAATATGGTTCATATCCCTCAAAACATACACAGAAATAGGGGCGTTCTTATATGTGATCTTATGCTGATGTTTGTTACTGTGCCCAAGCAAAACCTTACTAAAAGCTCATTTCTGTCAATAAACAGTTCAAACAGGTTTTGTAAAATATTTTATGTAATAAAATAAATTATACCTTTAAAAAGGCACATAACTTTTGTTTTTTAACTTTCAAAAACTTTAAAAATACTTGTAAGAAAAACTTTTCACTTTAGCTACAGTCTGATATATGTCTTCTTAAAATGACACCTTTAAAATGTTGAAGATTTGCAATTATTGAAGCTGAAGGTTATTTTCATGTCTGTGTTCAAAAAGTGGGGGTGACGAGAATAGTTCAAAATAAACACAGATGATTGTGTTTGTCATGTTGTTGATGTATTTAACTGTTGTTTTAAAGGATGTTCGGATCTGGACGGGAACACAACTTCACGCGTCCTAATGAAAAGGGAGAGTATGAGGTTGCAGAGGGAATCAGCTCCACTGTGTTCAGAGCCATTTTGGTGAGTGCTCTCTGCTTTAAAAGCTTTATTGAGGTTTTAAATATCTCTTAGGCCTGGTGGACCCCGCATATTGATTAAGTACCGGATTAGGCTGCAGTATCAGAATTCACATGACTTCAGCACAAACTGAACTGCTTTGTTAAAGCTTATTGCAGATGTATTTCACATATAAAAAAACTAAAACTCAGCAGAACGATTCCCCTGCTGCTGCTGCCTCCTTTCTTTTAATATCTTTGAAGGCAAGGTTTTGTCCCCATTTTCTGGCACTGTTCACTTTACTGAACTTGTGCTGAGATTTTATATTGTGAATGGAGAAACGAAGATACAGTTGCGGTTGTCTGAATAAGTTATTGGTATAACTAGTATGGCATAACTATATTTATAATAATATTATTATTAATATTAAAGTATGAACTGTGAAATACAATAAATAAATAATAAATAAATGAATAAATAAATATTTTCAGTCAAAAAAATTGAATAATAACTATAATTATTATTAAGCTATACAAAAATAATAAAATATGTGTTGTAAAATACAAATCATTTATAAGCATAATAAAATTGTGAAACAACATTTTATATTATTTATAAGTTATTTCAACTTAATATAGTTCATATTATAAAATTAACAAATTTATTCTTAGTATATATTTATAATAAGGGAGGCATGCTGGCTCAGTGGTTAACACTGTCACCTCACAACAAGAAGGTCACTGGTTTAAGTCCCGGCTGGGCCAGTTGTCATTTCTGTGTGTCAAAGACAGGTATAGGTGAATTGGGTAGGCTAAATTGTCCTTAGTGTATGTGTGTGTATGTGTGTAAATGAGTGTGTATGGATGTTTCGCATTGATGGCTTGCAGCTGGAAGGGCATCCGCTGCATAAAACATATGCTGGATAAGTTTGTGGTTCATTCCGCTGTGGTGACCCCAGAGTAATAATAGAGCTAAACCGAAAAGAAAATTAAAGAATGAAATTTGCCTGTGTGTGTGCGTGTGTGTGCGTGTGCGTGTCCGTGTCCTTGTACTAGGTTGTGGCTGGAAGGGCATCCATTGCATAAAACATGCTAAAATAGTTGGCGGTTCATACTGCTGTGGGAATCTCTGAAATAGACCTGAAGCTGAAGGAAAATTAATATTTTTAATTAGCTATATACAAAACTCCTTGACATTTTTTCTGATTGTTATATTTTAAATATTTATAATAAGTGTTAAGTTATTTTGACTGCTGGTCACTTCCGTAGATAGTTATTCTAATAATAATAATGTGTTTATTGTACAAAACAAGTACAAGAATATATTGGTAAATGTTGTGAGGACAGAGCGCTCATTTTGTACAATTCACTGGAATATTAGCATATAGCAGTGATTATTGTGATTTAATTTATTTTTTTTTATAATTTGATGGGTAAATTTGGTGAACAATTCTTATTCTCAAATTATGTTTATTTATTTATAGATTATATGTGCAATATAATGAATTTGAGTATATACAGTGCTCTGCTCAAACCTGTCTGCGTGGAATAGAAAGGGTTAAGCTTCTAAGCATGAGGCTCAGTGGAAAAAGCAGGACAGCGCACGTTAGACAGCACTACAAAAATAACAGCCATATCCAAGCTTTTTTTCCCTCTTCAGTGAAGTGTTTTGTTCAGCGTCTTCGTGCTGTCCGTATGCTGAGCTCTTTGCACGTTTGGCTGGCTTTAAATGGATCAGTGAAGAGTGGGAGAGCAGTGTGTGTGTGTATCTGGCATCGGAGCCATTTGCTTCTCTTTGGAATGAGTGCTGCTTCAGTAATGGCCGCCTGTTTGTTTTTTCTCTGCGTCTTTCCCTTTTAACCGGCAGGATTACTATAAATCGGGGATAATCCGCTGCCCTGATGGGATCTCCATCCCGGAGCTGAGAGAAGCATGTGACTACCTCTGCATCGCCTTCGACTACAGCACCATCAAGTGCAGAGACCTCAGTGAGTATTCTTAAACATGACAATTGGAGAAAAGATGGTATTGTGAGCGTCTGGGATGTCTGAGGATGATGGAGGCGAGAGAGCAGAAGTAGGTCAGTGTCGTACGTGATGTGACTGTCAGATGTGGGTCAGTGTGAATTGTTTACGTGGTGCACGCTGCTGTTCTGCCTTCATTTGTCATGCATATGTCTAAATGCTAATGAGCTGATTTGAATAAGACTGATCGCTTTGGCCTGCAGGTGCCCTCATGCACGAGCTGTCTAATGACGGCGCACGGCGGCAGTTTGAGTTCTATCTGGAGGAGATGGTGCTGCCGCTGATGGTGGCCAGTGCTCAGAGCGGAGAGAGAGAGTGTCATGTGGTGGTGCTGACGGATGATGACGTGGTGGACTGGGATGAGGAGTACCCACCGCAGATGGGAGAGGAGTACTCACAGAGTCAGTGCACTCAACCATTACACGCTGTTATCAAAATGTCAATCTGCATTGGTAGCATTGATTGCTTGTGGTTTTTGAACATTCATAAGCCAAGTGTTTCTACACTTTAATGATACTTCAAATTGTGTAGCTTGTGTTCTGAGTAGGCCTGTCACAATAGTCAATATATCGACTTATCGCACAACACATGGACATCATTTTTGCTGATGCAATATACACTCCCTCGCCACTTTATTAGGTACACCTATCCAACTGCTCGTTAACGCAAATTTTTTATCTGCCAATCACATGGCAGCATCTCAATGCATTTATGCGTTGTAGATATGGCCAAGATGATCTGCTGCAGTTTAAACTGAACATCAGAATGGGGAAGAAATGTGACTTACTATAAGTGGCTTTGAAGGTGGCATGGTTGTTTGTGCCAGACTAGCTGGTTTGAGTATTTCAGAAACTGCTGATCTACTAGGATTTTCACGCACAACCATCTTTGGGGTTTACAGAAAATGTTCCAAAAAATAGAAAATATCCATTCTTGTTGCCAAATGTCAGAGGAGAATGGCCAGACTGGTTTGAGCTGATAGAAAGGCAACAGTAACTCAAGTAACCACTCGTTTCAACCACAGTATGCAGAAGAGCATCTCTGAATGAACAACATGTCGAACCTTGAGGCGGATGGGCTACAGCACTGGGTGTGACTCCTGTCAGCTAAGAACAGGAAACTGAGGCTACAATACACACAGCCTCACCAAAATTGGACAATAGAAGATTGAACATTGCCTGGTCTGATGAGTCTCGATTTCTGTTTTGGATGGTAGGGTCAGAATTTGACGTCAACAGCATGAAAGCATGGATCCATCCTGGCTTGTATCAACGGTTCAGGCTAGTGTTGGTGGTGTAATGGTGGGGATATTTTCTTGGCACACTTTGGGCCCATTAGTACCAACTGACCATAATGTCAACACCACAGCCTACCTGAGTATTGTTGCTGACCATGTCCATCCCTTTATGACCACAGTGTACCCATCTTCTGATGGCTATTTCCAGCAGGATAAGGCATCTCAGATTGGTTTCATAAACATGACAATGATTTCATTGAAATCAACTGGCCTCCACAATCACCACATCTCAATCCAATTGAGCACCTTTGAGATGTGGTGGAATTGGAGATTCGCATCATGGATTTGCAGCTGACAAATCTGCAGCAACTATGTGATGCTATCATTTCAATATGGATCAAAATCTCTGAGGAATATTTCCAGTACTTTGTTGAATCTATGCCACGAAGGATTAATGCAGTTCTGAAGACAAAGGAGATCTAACCCAGTACTAGTAAGCTGTACCTAATAAAGTGGCCAGTGAGTTTGTATTGTCCATACATAACCAAATCCAACAACAATTTATCTGATAGTGCAACATCTCTATTAGAGGTGTTAGTGTGGTTAAAAATACTAATATTTTCTATAAATGACTGGTATGTTTTCATGTGGGTGTCTGACAACTGAAAGGAGTCTGGTAGCAGATATAGCAGCCTCTATTACTATTTACCTTGTACTTTATTGTTAACATTTATTATGTAGGATATTATTATTTATGTAGGATATACGTTTTCACATTCTGATTCCAATGCCTAATTATTAAATCGACTATAATTAAATGAAATTCTTTTAGGAATAAAGTGTTGCATGTTCTTTTGAAGAGTGTACTTGCATTGTGATGTTATTATATTGTCATTCAGGCATTCTATAATGAGTAGCATAAAATGGTCTTAAAATGACAGTAATGTTGTGTATTGCAATATATTTTGGTGCAGTATATATCGTACAAAAAAAAAAAAAAAAGATTGTGACAGGCCAAGTTAAACGTTTTGACCTTTTGGATGATGAAAAGGGGAAGACCCAAGCAGACACCTATAATGATTCTGAACACTAGCAAGTGGATCGAATCCCATTTAAACAATCTGTTCCTTAGCAACACTCCTGCAACCACTCAGAACACCCTAGCAACAGCAATTTGATTCTCTATCCACTCAGCAGCTGTATAGTAACATTGTAATAAACATTTACAACAACACAGAACACCCTAGCAACCTCCAATAGCTCCAACAAGCAAATATAAACATCCAGCCCTTTAGCTGCTGTTTCATTGGATCATCCTTCATCAGTGGATTAAACTGAATTCAACTGTGACATTTTTATAAAACTGAACTGAATCAGTTTTAATTAAAATACAGCAGCATTCTACATCTATGCTCCTGCCTACCTGAATATTATTATTTTACTCTTTATTCTTCATCTATGTAAAGCTGCTTTGACACTGTTGTAGAAGCATTATGCAAATCAAGATGAATTCAACTGAATGGACCAGCACACCTTGTCCAACCATGACTCATAACAACACTTATAGTCAGCCACATAGAACACCCTAGAAACCACATAGCAACACATTAATTACCGCTCTAAATGCTTATTAATAGGCGTGTTCAAATTAAAGCAGACTGATTGGCGCATGACGTCAAAGTACTGTGAAAGCAATTAGAGCCCATGGCTTTTGGGTGCAGCTCAATTGCTCCTGTGTTACTTTGAACTCCAACATTCACTAGGCGATAGGCGATGTGTGGACCACACTAAACCAACTAGCCAGACCTCAGAATCCCTGTTAAAGAAAGATCCCCTATTATGCATTAAATAAAATCATATTTTAGTTTTGGGGATAATTTAATACCTAATTATCCCAAAAACTCCCATATGATTCGTTCTCAAACACCTCCTTAGCGTGAAGCTAATCTGCGCTGATTGGCTCAATGACATAGCCTGTTGTGATTAGTCGACTGTGTTCAGCGTGAGTCAGAAAGAATTGCCCACCACGGCTTATCAACTATTTTGAAGTACAGTATAAAATACAGTACAAGTCGCGTGGAGTGGTTAAAAGTAACAAAACACAATTAAATACATAATTTTCAAGCTAGATAAAACAAGGATAAAACCATTTTAATTGCACTTAAGTTACTTACACTGAGGAAGAAACTGATCCCTGTACTGTGTACTTTAAAGTTCCTGTCAAGCTCTGACAAAGCCTCAGACATTAATAGTCTTTTCTGATCCTTCTTTTAACAAACGGCCAAAAAATTCCCCTGTTGTAAGCGCGTAGGTTGCTGAAGCACTTATCAGACGGGAACACCGCACAAGGCTGGGGTGATAATGCTGAGGTATTTTTGCAAAAATAAACTTCAAACACTGACTCTTCACAACCTTATCTTTGAGTAGGGAAAATAACTAACTAACTTTCCCTCACACTTCATAGAACAGCGTCTATGTGACATGACTCAACCGGGATCTGCGACAGTGTTCGTTTTCCTCTTTTTCCTGTGTTTGTGGGCGGGGCCGGGGGTTTCAATTTTTTCCAGGTTTGCGCGTGCAACAAATGGGCGGGGCTTGACTTCCATATCAAAGTCACGCCGACACAGCTTAAGATTCATTACCCTGGCATTTCACTTGAACCACTCTGATTCGACTCTTTTATAAATAAATCAATAGTTTTAAACACTGCTCTTTCAGATTTAAGCATTAGCTGGATATTTCACTTTACTTAGAGCTGTGTTACACACTGCATGGAAGGTCATTTTCAAAAACCCATAATAGGGGCTCTTTAACTTCATAGCAACCCACTCAGGAAACCACTGAACATCCTCTCAACACTAGCAATGCTTTGAAAAGCATCTGGAGCATCCTCCCCAATCCTTCCCTAGTACACCACATAGCAACACATAACTAACAAACATCCAGAACAAAACATCGTAGCAAACCTATGCTTTAACAACCACCAGGACATCCTTTTCAGCCTAGCAACAACACAGCAATGCTTTGACAACAACTCGGAACATATTCTTTTAATCTTTGGCAATAGTCCATCGGGCACCTGCTACAGCATTGAAGACAACTTAAAACACGCCATAAAAGCCCTTAGCAACACTAAAAAAATCACCCTAAACCACAAGCAAACACATAACAATAGACTAAAAACCTCTTAATACTGTACATGCTAGCAATCACATAGCAACATGTGCATGATCATCATCAGTGCAATGCATATCTGTGCTTGTATCCACATGAAACCTGATGTTTTTCCTCTCTCTCTTTTGGGTATCAGTTATATACAGCACAAAACTCTACCGGTTCTTCAAATACATTGAAAACCGAGATGTTGCCAAGTCTGTTCTGAAGGAGAGAGGACTGAAGAAAATTCGATTAGGCATTGAAGGTAAGAGACTGAATAAGGGAATGTGGGAATGTGGGAATGGCTTTTCACTTGACTGCTTTTAGATGAACCTGAAATGAAATTAGCTTGCTCACACTTTTACACATTAACAGGATTGTTCATCCAAAAATGAAAATCCTCTCATCATTTACCCACCCTCCAAACCTGTCTGAACACAAAAGATGATATTTCATATGCAAAACTCAAGGGCTTTTCACACTGATCTTAAATGAATAGTTCACCCAAAACTGAACATTCTGTCTTTATTTACTCACCCAAAACTGATTCAGTTTCTTTATTCTCTCAAACACAAAAAGATGTATTGAAGAAGGCTGGAAACCTGTAACCTCTGACTTTCATAGTATAAATTTTTCCTACTATGGATGTCAATATTACAGGTTTTTAGTTTCTTCAATATTGGAAGAGTTCAGATGCAAAAACATCTAAGTGTCATCTGAAATGTTCTTCTAAGATGAACATTTTTCTCAGGCTGCTACAGTACTGTATGTATTGATTCAGTAATTTCACGTATATGGCAAATAACTAACTATTTTCATCACTTTTAACATGAAATAACTGAACACAAACATAAGCCTAAGAAAAATGTTCAATGTAGAAGAAAATTTTAGATGCCACAAAAAACTCAAACAGGTTTGAAACAAGTGAATTTTCATTACATTTCTTTTGTGAACTCTCTCTCTTTAACCCCAGGTTATCTTTGTTCTAGACAGCACTTTAAACCCCAGTTGAAAGAAGCTTCACACCTCATCTGTGATTTGAAAGCGGCGATAACACCTTTTGACTCAGGGTTTCACTTCAGTGTGAAATGGGGCAATATTGGCTTGTTGCTGATACATGCTTAGCAGCAGACAGCCAATCAGAGATTGAGGCCCTGTTTACACTAGTGCGTTTTTGTTTTAAAACGACATTTTAGAATGAAAACGATCCGCGTCCGCACTCGCGTTTTACCCAGCGTTTCTAAACAGCTCTCCGTCCACACCAAAACGCTGAAAATGCACATCACGTGACCACACACACACACTCTCGGGCAAGCGCTGCAGCCCATCTACCCAGATGAGAGCTGTGCTAGGCGGACTTCTCATTAAGCATCTCCCGCTGGATCTAATCTCACTATATTTATTAAACGGGATATTTCATTCATCTTGTTGTCTTTATCTAACGAGATATTCCCTGACTTTGGTCATTGGAATCTATTACTTGTTCTCAGGTAACGTGTTTTGGCTGAGCGCAAAGATAAGTTAATGATTAATCCATGTACATTCCTGTATATTGACTGATCGCTTGCCTTTATTTCCTATAATGTATAAACTTATTGTATGTTATACTTTTATAATGGCCATTATCGATTAGTAAAACTGATATTCAGCAAAAGAGAGGGTATGTTTCGTATTTTCACTGAAATTGAAAGGAGGCAGTGTTGTTATAGGCTCCATTTTGTTATAAATATCCACATCGTGAAGATGACGCTCATATATACAGCATGACGCCTCAACATGTTAAGTTGCTAATATTAAAATAAAAATAGGCATTTCCTGAAATCATGTTAACATTTTATTGTTGAGAAAGTGAAACAGCTTAGCCAGGGTGATGTGAAGTTATAAAATACACTGTTCCCTTTGAAGATTTACCCGTGTCCTCGGTATAGTCTGTTTTCCATATCAAACTGAGAAGAAGAGACTGCAGCCATGATCAAACTTGCGAAGTCTGAACTTACAAGGAGAGGATGCGAGACTGAACTGTGTGTGTTTGGCTACTTAATATTGAGAAAAAGCCCCAATCAGAGAGGCGAATGTCTGCAGCCCCGCCTCTGTTTTCAGATGTCTCCGTTTTCCATGATACTTACTGAGACGGAGCAGCAGAGTTTCAGAATGAAAACGGCCTCTCCAGCGTTTTCGAAACGCTCCGTTTTTCGGCGCTCAAGAACTCCAGCGTAGTGTGGACGGTTGCCGTAATCGTAGCAAAACTTATGCGTTTTCAAACTCAAATGCATTAGTGTAAACGGGGCCTGAGAGTCAAGATTCATAGCATCTCAGTAATAGAAAATGGCCATCATGTAAACAGCAGCCGGTGAGAGAAATGGCCAAAACAGAACTGTGAACTATTAAGAAATGTGTAGTAATGAATGGAAGACAACCTAATTTTGCTCCTGGTTTTCTTTTGTTTATATTTCATCATTGAGAATGACCTCAATTATTCTCCCTCATTAAGTTTTATATCTTTGAGTTAAACACAACAGAAGATATTATGAAGAAGCCATCATCTTCCATTGTAGGAAAACAATTATAATTGTCCCAGCAAGCATCCAGCATTTGTCACAACATATTATTTTGCATATAACAGGAAAAGAGACTTGAATAGGTTTGGATGTCGAGTAGATTGAGTAAATGATTGCATTTATTGACAGAATATCCCTTTATGGATGAACTATCTCTTACTTTAAAGCAGATGAAGACCTTTCTGCCATTTTAATAACTCAAAAGATGCTGGTACAGCTATGAAAATGATTCACTTGCTTTTTGACCAATCACTGACAGTAACACGGCAAATATGCAAATAAACATGTTAACCCAGGCTTTGTGAATGCCGTTGTAGAATGTCAAAGATTAACAGATAACCCCAGTGTGAAAAGCCATTCAGACAGGTTCAGTCTAACTGTCCAGATAGTAGAAAGAAATGAAAGTGGACTGATTACACCACAGTGAAAATTCTCTCTTGTGAATAATTTTGGTAACCAAGCATTTTAGTTCATTTTTTAGTATTGACTTACATCATGTGGAGCAAAAACACAACTGAAGCTGTTTGGTTACCAATGTTCCTCAAAACACACTGAACTTTAGGCCTCTTTACACTATGCGCTTCAGTTTTAAAACAATCCACATCCACACTGATGTTTCACCTACCGTTTCTAAAAAGATCTTTGTGTACACCACACCGTTGAAAATGCACATCACAATACCACACACACACACTGGCATGTGCTGCAGCGTATGCGCACGGCTGAGCTCCAGGCAGTCGGTGGATGCTCTGCAGTCATCTCCCCAGCTGAGAGCGGTGCAGGTCCGACAGTTCATCAAGGATATTCCGCTGGATCTCATCTCACTATAGTTGTTAAACATGATTATTTAATTCATCTTGTCTCCATCTAACGACTCTTTGGTCTTTTGATTACTTGTTCTCGGGTAATTTGTTCTGGCTGGGCACAAAGATAAGTTACTATATTAATTTGTAATCACGTACACTGATTCTGCACATTTGACTGATTGCTTGCCTTTATTTCCTATATTGTATAAAGTTACTGTGTTATTGATGGCCATTATTGATTATTAAAACTGATATTCAGCAAAATGTTTAGTATTTTCACTGAAAATGAAAGGAGGCAGTAATGTTTTGTTATAAATATGCATACAGTGAAGACAACAGTCATATAAATACGCAGCTACACAACGCCTCAACAATTAAATCCACGCAGCAACAGCATTTAAATCCAAAACGGCCTCTTCAGTGTTTCCAAAACACTCCTTTTTTTAGTGCTCAAAAACTCTGGGGTGGTCTGGACAGAAGTTGTAACCATACCAATCTTTTGCGTTTTAAAACTAAAGTGTATTCTTGTAAACAGGGCCTTCGTTTTTGGATAGATGTCAAATTAGCGTTCATCCTTACACCGCTGTGTTTACTCTCAGGATACCCAACCTACAAAGAAAAAGTGAAGAAGCGTCCTGGCGGCCGTCCCGAGGTCATCTACAACTACGTCCAGCGGCCCTTTATCCGCATGTCCTGGGAGAAAGAGGAGGGCAAAAGCAGACACGTGGACTTTCAGTGTGTGAAGAGCAAGTCAATCACTAACCTGGCTGCAGCGGCGGCAGACATTCCTCAGGACCAGCTGGTGGTGATGCATCCTGGGCCACAGGTGGACGAACTCGACATCCTCCCAAACCACCCACAGCCCAGCCAACATTATGAGCCCGATCCTGACGCCTCGTCCCCAGCCATCTGACCCTCACACACACACACACAAACACACACTCCACTGGTCCCGCTGCCAAGACCGCATTGCCTTTCTAGTCTCTCCCGCCTTACACGAGTCTTCAAGACAAGCACTGCGGCAGCACACCTCCTCCAGACACTCTTTCCTGGACACAACTCAGCCAAAGCAGGTTTTGATTTATTTGAGTAGATAATCAATGTTGATAATCACTCCTTACGTTCATTATTTAAGCAAAGCCATGCACTGGGGGGAAATGTACAAGTCAATAGTAACTTTGTCCTAACATTACATTTTTTTTTTAGATGAAAAATTACAATTTTGAGTTGTAAAATACAATTTGAAGAAACAAAAGTCAGAATTAACCAGCTACTGCAAGACAAGTCAGATGTGAAAAAGGTGCAATTTTCATTATTCAGTCAAATTAACAACAATAATAATAGAACAATTGCAAGATGTAAACATCTGGAGAAAAAAAACGTCAAAACTGCCAATCTGAACTCATAAATTGGGTTTACGTCACACTTTTAACTCCTTGAATTGCAGTAGCAAAATTGCCAGAAATGCAAAATACAATGAGTTTTTAACTTGCAACTGTTAGAAAAAAAGGATAATTTAGAGAAACATGCAGTTCTGAAACTCGCAACGTTAAGTTGACATGAAAAAAAGAAAGTTCCAATTGGCGGATAAAAGCTTCATAGTTTGCTGTGGTATAAATAGAAGGATGAATGTGATGTATAGAGCTTCTTGTCCAGCATGTGACCCACTTTAAATTGTGTCTCACTCAGGCAGAGGAGATCATTGGACAAGGCAAAACACAACACAGTGAGTATAGAATGACATGAAACGCAGAGGCTGCTGACTCATCAATAAACACAGCAACCATCCATAAGGTCAGTCACAAATGTCAGGTGTATCAGCTGCCTTAATAAAGCTATCAACTTACATGTCACGACTCAATTGTGAGACTCACATAATGGCCAAAATAACCCTGCAACATGTAAACTATGAGCTTTTAACTTGCATTTAGGAGAGGGGTTGTTATGATATGAGTATGATGATATGAAAAGTAATTCTGATTTAAAGTCATAATGCAAGTTTAAACTAGAGCTTTCTAACTTAAAAACAAACAATTGTGATTTATAAAAGTCCCAATTATCTTTTTTATATATATATATATATATATTATCCGTGGACACCTGCTTTCATAGATTGTACTATATTTGTGGTGCTGTTTTGCTACTGCTGTTTCACTTTGCAATAAAAAGAAAAGGAGCACAATCCACTGAACAACCCTGCACATGTCCTGTGATGAAGCAGAATGCATTCGTTGTAGGTCTAGTGTGGTGGAGACGGTCTCACTGTGATGCTTGGCCTCTGAACGAGTACTGAAGTGATGTCACGTTTTTATTGTACCGTACTTTTTATTTTACTGTCATTTGTAGCTGCAGTGCAGCGAGAGAGAGAGAGACGTTCCTCTACTGCACCGCTGACAAATGTTATTTTAATAAAGCATTGTTGGATCAGTTAGACTCCTTTCTGATCATAGAAATCAGTGTTTATAGGCCACACATCTATCAAGAGTTTATACAGTACTATGAAAATACTTTAATAAATACTTTGTGTGTATTTTTGTCACAATTTAGCACATCCTCCTCCTGTAGTATTCTATTCTGAATGTGTCACTATGATCAGCACTTCATATATCATTGACTTTTAGATGGAGTCCATTAATATCCACAATGGCTGTCACAATTCTAAAGTAAAGAGACAGGATACGGACAGAGGTATAAACACAAATACAGATATACTTCGTGTTCATATACACATACTGGGGGCAACACAGTGGTGCAGTGGTTAGCACTTACCCTCACAGCAAGACAATCAAATAGTTCGAGCCCCGGCTCAGTTGGCATTTCTATGTGGAGTTTGCCTCCAAGTGCTCCAGTTTCCCCCACAGTCCAGACACACTATTGGTGAATTGAATAAGCTAAATTGCCTGTAGTGTATGTGTGTGAATGAGAGTGCATGGGTGTTTTCCAGTACTGAGTTGCAGATGGAAGGGCATCTGCTGCGTAAAACATGCTGCATAAGTTGGCAGTTCATTCTGCTGTGGCGACCCCTGATTAATAAAGGGATTCAGCCGAAAAGAAAGTAATTGCATACTGTAAACCGAACTGTACATGTATAATTGTGCGCACACACACCTTTCTTGATCTATTAAGACTCACCCTTAAGATAAATTCCACATTTCAGTGAAGACCTGCTTGTTAAAGAATTGACATTGTGAGCATCATTTGTGTTTGACCTACAAAATGATTGAGTTATAATGAAGCTCGATTGTCAAGCCATCGTCTTTTCCCTGACAACACACTTCATTTCCTCTGGATGGCAACATAGAACAAAAATATCACATGCGTGAACCAATCAAAAGCCAGAGAGAGAGTGAGAGAGAGAGAGGCTTGAGGAGAAGCCTCCTCCAATATTCCAGAATGCATCCGTTTTCTCAGGCAGTGTGTGGATCTATTTTTATCTTGATGCAAATAAAGATTAATATTTACAGATGACTGAAGAGCGCATGAGAAAAGCAACACTGAAGACTTTTTAAAATTATTTTATTTGAAAAATATCCACTGCTGATACGTTTACACTTTTACCATATATATTTGCATAAAGAAATCTTACATAATAGAATTACAATATTAGTTACAATCTGCATATAGAATATTTGAACATGAACAGCTGTCTGTAGTGTAAAAACATTAAAACACAATGTATATTTATAGATGTATACAAATAGAGCGCTGTTTGCTGATGGCCACCACAGGAATAATCCGTCTCCATTCGGCAGGACGTGTGCAGTTGGCTCCCGTTTGCCTTGCCATGATCCCCATGATCCGTGGCTTCACAAAGGCCAGGGCAGGTCACTGAAGTCCACGGGTCCCCCGAGGCCAGCGTCTGCCTCCAGGAGGCTCATGATGACGGCCATCGCTGCTTCATCATTACTGGGGCTGCTGGATCCAGGCTCCTCCATGATGTCTATGCTCAGATGAGAGTTGTCACCTGCGGGCCGACAAGCTTTAGTGCACTTGCTAGAGAACATGAGGGCGCAATATGTGGAAGAATAAAAGCCAGATGGCCCAGCGTGCAGCCAGAGAAGATACATCTGCTGCTGCTTTCAGAGTGAAGAGCCTCTTTTATGTTTTGATGCGTTGGCTGGAGAACGTAAGCGTGCTGTCAAACGGCTGTTTAAACTTCTAAAACATAACCATCCATCAGTCCATCCATCCATCCATCTGTCTAATGCGAAGCTTAAAAGTGACCTGACATCATATGAATATGCTAGCAACATGTTAAATCATGCTAACCATCTTATAAATGATAGCATTTTAACAACTTGCTAACATACGCTAGCGAGAAGATACCATTTTTAACATGATAGCATGCTACAAATGTTAAAACGTGATAGCCAAGTCCTAACAATATGCTAAATCATACCAGTAAATATGAAATATGCTAAACATGATATTTTTACAGACATGCAAGCAATGTTCTGAAACATGGTAGCAATGTGTTATTAGCTACATGCGGAAACATGCTGCCATCATGCTGCCATTATGATGCCAAATTACATTATGTGCTAGATTCAAATAATAATGTAGTAAAACATTGCAGCATGGTAACATTGTATATTGAGACAAGTTAGCAATGTGCTAAAACATGCTAGCAACACATTAACGTGTTAAAAAGCAATCACATATCAACATGTTCTTAGCATGTTTAAACATTAAGACACCTAGCAAAGCACTGAAACTTGTGAGTAATGTGCTATAGCATGCTGTAACATGCTAGCAACATGTAATATGTTAAATAACCCTGTAAACATAACATGGTAAGAACTTGCTAACAATGTTCTAAACGTGATAATCTGACAGCACAACACATTGCTTGCATGTTTATTATGTCTATAATTATGTTGTAAATAGATTACAAGCTAAATCAAACTAGTAATGTAGTGAAATGCTTTAACATGGTAACATATTGACATAAGCTAACAGTGTGCTGGAGCATGCTAGCAACACATTAACATTTTAAAAAGTAAATATTCATACAACATACACTGAAACTTATTAGCAATGTGCTAGAGCATGCTAACATTGTGTGCAGTTGGAATGTTGCATGTTTAAAACAGACACATGCAAGGAACATGTCTAAATATGCTAATCATTTGTTGTTAACATGTTGAAACACAGTAACATGCTATTTACACGTTTAAAAAACATGGCATGCTAACAATGCAAAAACATGCTAACAACCTGCTTTTAATTTGATAAAAGCTGCCAACATGATAGCAACATGTTAAAACATTACGTTCTACATGAAATGCTAACAAAATGCTAAAGCACTAATGCTAGAAACATTTTAAAGCACGCTTTTACTATGGTGCAACATGCTAATAATATAAACATTGTAACATGCACGACGTGTCAACATTAAAATCTTGCTAGCATCTAAAATGTTGCAGCTCACTATTAGCATGGCAACACATGCTTTGACAAGCTAACAATGTGCTAAACATCTGAGCAATGTTGAAACAAGTTTGTAACATGCAACCAACATACTAGCACTGCACTAAAACACAGAAACCATTCTGCAACACTTACGCAACCAGTATGCAATGCTTTTTAAGCCTATCTATATCTGTCGGTCTAAAACCTGCCATTTCAAGCTTGCAAAACTTGAAGGTTTTAAGACTTTCAAAGCTGCTCTTGATCTTCATCTTGTTCAGGATAGAGAGTGTCAGAGACTTGAAACCACTTGCATCATTTACTGTCAGCTGCTCAGAGGATCTATGAACATTCATGACCAAATGAAAACTCTTCACTTTGAAAGCAGCAGCGTTTATTTATCTGCCAGAAATCTGTCCAAATATAACCCTGACCTCATACTTTTTAAAGGAAAAAACTTTAAAAGTAATCGTTAGATATAATGCTAGTCATCTCTAGACCATTTGAAGTTAAAGTTAATTTTTTAATCAGCCTACACCTACAGGTTTATGAAGAATATTCCGCCCTAAATTTGGAGATCTATTTCACTGAAGCTTTTCTGACAATGATAAAGCTTCACATATCATTTCACAAGTATGCTTGACACCTAAAGGTGCTGCAGAAATTAAAACTAAACAACCGAGCGTGAAACTGTTCAAGACTCGTTTATAATACTTCCTTACTTTAACACATTTGGGTCTGTTTTGACAGAAATGTGTATTTCAGAGATACTGTTTTTAATTAACCATAATAATAATAATCAGTTTATTTGCATATTGAATTGGTGGAAATCAGTGTGAAATATTTAGGAAAACTCAAATGGGGAGATTTTTGTAAAACCTCTTTACAGAGTAAAGTGAACAGTGTAAACTGAAAAATGAAAATTCTACTTTATTCTTCCTTTCTTTCATAAATCACCCCAGATAAAATATATATCTACACAACCACTCAAAAGTTTGGGATCAGGCTTTTTCTTCATGTTTTTTATTTTATTATTCTGGTGATCAAGGCAGCATTTATTAAATGAAAAAAAAAATTTAAATTGTTAAATATTTATTACAATTATAAATAACTGCTGTCTTACTGTATGTAGTTTCAAATTAAATAAAAACTCCAGTCATTATAGCTTCTATTACTATTACCATTAATAATAATGATATTAAAATTAATATTAATAATAATGAATTATGTGGTTTCTGAAGGATCATGTGACTCTGAATGCTGGAGTAATTAAGCAGAAAATGTATCATTAAAATCACTGAATAAATGATTAAATGAAATGATAAAGTACTTTTGAACAGTTATTTTATAAAGAAATAACATTTCACGATTGCACAATTTGTCCTGTATTTTTGATGAAATAAATGCAGCCTTGGTGAGCAGGAGAAGCTTATTTTAAAACAGGGGTCATCAAACTTGTTCCTGGAGGGCCGGTGTCCTGCAGATTTTAGCTCCAACCCTAATCAAACACACCTGAACAAACTAATCAAGGTCTTACTAGATATACTTGAAACACCCAGACAGGTGTGTTGAGGCAAGTTGGAGCTAAAACCTGCAGGGACACCGGCCCTCCTGACCTGAGATTGGTGACCCCTGTTTTAAAACATTAAAAATCCTACTCACCCCAAACTTTTAACTGCTATATGATTGATCTAAATTTAGTTCATCTTCTTTTTCATTCATCAGGTAAAACGCCCTGTATTTTTATAATCATATAATTTAATTTCTAGAATTTTAATAAACAACAACAAACAAAAAAAGTAGCTGAGGCGAGATTGACTGACAGTACTCACTCATTAATGAATTATTTGAATAGGGGTATCCTATTGAATCAGGCCCAGGCACAATTCCTGCTGAAGGTAGATCTGGAGTTCCACCATTCTGAATCTACAACGAGAAACAGATTAATATAACATAACGCATCTTCAGAATTTGAAGCGTAGAGGAAAGCCGCCATGCAGGAGGCCGGTCTGACCTTCTTTCCCCCAGGAGAGCAGGTGTCCGGTGGGGGCGTGGCAGTGATGTTTAAAGGACTGGAGCCACAGCTGGAGGGGGAGGAGCCTCTGATTCTGGGGGTGAAAAATCAATAAAGTCATGA